CCTGGCCCCAGCAATAACTCCAAGTCATATTTCGGGGGCCTCCCGTCCACTTGACAACTTAATGATGCCGAGTTTGGACTTTTACCCCCTCCTCTCTCTTCTCCTATACTGTTCCTTCCCCTGCAGGGTTCTCATTTCTCCTTGTTCTTTCAGACTAATATCAGCAAAGGCACAGAGAGGCTGCTCTCTCTAAGGACTTCCCACTCTGAGCCACATATCTTCTCCTTTTCACCTCTGTGTGCTTGCAGTATAGCACGGGGTTAGTGTCTAGGACTGTTGTGCATCTGTCTCCGATTTGGAGCACAGCCCCTGCAGGCTCCCGAGGAGACTCAGGCGTCCCTCTTTAGATCCTGTTCTTTTTCTCCCTTTGAGCCGGGCCCATATTTCATTGTCATTTCAACCCTCTCTTCCTAGCCTCGATGTAATAGCGAGAGATATATGGGCCCTTGCTTCTGCAGCCTTCTGAGCTTCCTCAGCCTTTTATAAAACACTGTCAGAGTGACAAAACAGCAGCCCTTGGGTATTCAGGCACAGATGCCCCCACATCCAGAGGCAATTTCTCAATATCCTGCGCTGATCCTTTTAGCAAAGAGATAACATCTGGGTCCTTGGACAGGATGAGTTGGAACAGTCATCCTGGAAAGAGTCGTAGCTCATCTGTATAGCTCTGTCTGCCTATAAGCTATAGGCTGTCTGTCAGCTCTGTTTTTATAAGAGCTGATTTAGGGAGCAGCCCTTTAATCCTGGGCCAACAGAAAACCACAGGAGCATGCAGGACCGATCCATACTGATACTGCTAATCAAGGAGCTTCAACCTGTCGGAGCAGGAATTTGCCCAGACATTTCATAAGGGGTAAAGAGAGACGGGTATGGGGGGGTTTGTTCATGACTCTAATGATGTTCCACCTGGCCGCAGGGACACATAACAACCCTATACCTCTGAGACAAGGCCCTGATTGAGATGTGAGTAAAAGAGAGGAGGAGAGGGTGGGAGCAGATGGGCTCTGCAATTAAAGCTGCATGTTCTGTTGTGGTTCCTCCACTTTGTTCCTGTCACTCGCTTCATCCTTAGTGACATCTGTCCTATTTTTTATACGCCTCTGCAACTAACTCAGTTTTCCTTCCGGCTTTCACAATTCAATCTTCTTCTCATCTCCATCTCGGTCTCTCCTCTCAGCTCTGCTCCTTCCTGTCGCACTCAGAAGACACACAATCTCTATCTCCTCTCTCCTGCGCTCCACATCTCTCTCTCTCTCTCTCCCTCAGCCCCCCCCCACCCCCCACCCCCCAGCCTTAATTGGGAGTCAGGGAGAGCAGTGGAAATCGCATTAACGCGGGCCCTGCCTGGGTGTGCCATCCATCTTCTTTTTTATTACGCCGCGCCGGGGCTGCCTGGGCGCTGCCGTTCGATTTGTCACCGGCCTCGTTCGCTGATAACAGGCATTTGTCATCGCCTTGCCTCCCTGTTAATGTTATCATCTCCTCCCTGACAGCCGCCCTCCGCCGGGGAGCGCCGGCGACAAAGCACATCCGTCAAGCGAATATTTCCACGGCTAAGGGGACCGCACACTGCAATAAGCCACATTAAAGCACTTATGAAGGGTGCAGGCCCGTGCGCGCGCGCACGCGTGTGTGTATATCTGCTATTTGTACACACCGGTGCCACCATGCGCACTGGCTTGTCCGCTGCGTGCGCATACACATCCGCGAACACGCTCGCGCAGGAGCGTGTAGTGCGCTTGTCGAGGCGAGGTGGGGGCCGACAGGGAGAGGAAGAGGTAATTTGTTGCAATTAATTACGCAGTGAGTGTGGCTTTGTTGTGTGGGAGAGCATTTTATCTGTTGGAATGCTTCCTTCGCCAGACTGTGATGCTATTTGTTTGATTTATCGCCTCTGCCTGCCCGAGGCGGAGTGAGCCTGCGTGTGAGTGTGTGTTTTCACATGTGCACAATACTGTGGCATTATCCACACAAATATACTGTAGTCTCAGTGACTGGGAGCCCTTTGTTTGGGAGTGACGTTACATATGAACAGCCACACAGTCCCTGTTTGTGGCCGTCTCTCAGGACTGAAACTCTTCTGTCCATTTGTCATTCAGCAGCAAATCAACAACTCCAGCTGACCTTCCATCACCCAGTTTGCCTGAAAGCTGTGACACCCAGATTTACTGCACCACACCCCAAAACAACCCAGATGTGTTATGCTGATGATTCTAACGCTGGCCTGGTCACCCTCTTCTCTTTCCCTCTCTCTCCTCTGTGGTATCAGGACAAGCAGGGATGTGACAACATTTATCCATTCTGCCTCAGTTGGGGGTTTGCCGGGGCATTCTGCAGGGGGCTGACAGATGGATCAGCCAGCCTAAAGGCAGTGGGAAGGGATGAGAAAGAGCGGAGCGCCACTTCTCCATCCTTCAACATACTGTATGACTCCCAGATTTGCCATACAACATCACATGGTATGGCAAATTTGCAACCCTGGGAGAGAACTGCAGCGCTGATGAGGCCACTGTCATCCACTAACACATCAGTGCTGTTTCTAAGACTCTTCACATTGTGACAAAAATACACACTTTGAGCTGGATGACAAAACATCTCTTGGAAATTCTTTTTTAATTTAAACGTCAACTGCTGAATTGCAGTTCTTCAGTAAGTGAGCATGTTGTAGTCTTATTCGCCATGGGAACCAGAGACAGAAAACCAGATTATGTTTAATAAACAATATCACAGATCGATATACTGAAGAGTTCCAAGTGTGTTGATTGGTTGTTTCTTAACAACACAAGTGTAAGACATTTGAAGATGTCTTTCCTCCTTTAGGCTCTCAAAATGTTGTTGTCTGTTGCCGAGTTTTCAGCTTCCAATCAGTCATATCCAGAACATAAAAGTCTTTCTGAAGTTGGTTTTATTCATTTTACCAAACCCTCAGCACGAGAGAAAAGATCTCTGCAATGGACAGTTTTACCACTTACCTTCTGCATAGCAGCTGCAGAGCATCTGCACTAAAATCCATGTGCAGTATTAACATGTATACCTGCAGACCGGATGACTCATTAGAAAGTGAGAAACCCAGGAGCATTTAATAATAGATAACCATAATTTATCAATGCTTTGTTATCAATAGGAGAGGTAAATATCAGCCAAATTGCTTTTTCACAACTTAAAGCTTATTAATATCTTATACCGGCTCTATAAAAACACAATCTCACCACAAGGTGCATTTAGTAGCTATTCTGGAGCTTTCAATCATTTATGATCTTCATCAGTGGATGGAATTGTTGGAACTTTGAGACGTCTTGTTCATGTTGGACAATCAACGTGAACAGGAAGTGAGCAAACTCGATCTGCTGATGAAGGTCATGTAATATGAGTGAAAGCCCCAGAGCAGCTACTAAACCGACCTTGTAGTGAGACTTGTTTTCTGAACTGCTGTTTCCAGCGAGAACGAACTTTGCATCTTACAAGTATGTGATTTATTCACCCTTAATAAAGCTATTAGTTACAACTCATAAACCCTCCATAGAGTCATGAGAGCAGAATTAGACGGTGGTACTTTTATTTGTTTTGCCTTTCAGTCTACAGTTTTAGTTCGGTCGGAATAAACAGCTTCTTCAGACTTTGTGTTTCTTCTACAATTTTCTTTTATTACATCAGTACTGGGAATCATTGTAGTTGTGATTGTCTAAAGCCCACATTTTAGTTGGGTATTTGTTTCTTGATATATGGTTGTCTGTGCTGTAATTGCAAGTGTTACTTTGTAATGTTTATGGTTGTTTTTGGTGAGAGGCAATAATGCCAGATAATGACATTTCTCTGTTTTAATTTTCTATGTTTGGGTCCAACTTCCAGTTATTGGCATCACAGCTAAATGAATGAGAAGCAAAGGCTGGCCCCCCTTTGTATTTGTGGAGTTAACTTAGAATATAGCTTACTGTATATGAATATTATTATTTTTAGTTTTTGCTCTTACCTTTGTGTTTTCTTACGATTACAAGGGCCAATCCAAAAGGACTTTATAGCTCAATACAGCAGAATAAGAAAGACGGGACAGATTTTCATGTTCAAACATCTTAATTTTATGTTACATTTCTCATTGTCACTCCACCATATATTACACAGAGTGGTCTAAAACACACAGCAGTTAAAAACACCTGGACAATCTCGTACAGCTGCTTTGGTATACTGATAAATTATAACTCTTTAACAAGCTTTACATACACGTATATGCATATATTTGGACAAGAAATATGAAATGACTACCACAGTAGCCACAATATCCAGCTCTCTTATGTAAAAAAGAGACACAAACATCACTGAAAGACAAAACAAACACAAGCTCAAGTTCTCGGTCAAGACATTAAATATTTTATTATTCACATGATGTCTCGTGACCTTTAACCACTGTGGGAAACGTTGGACAAATGGTTTTCATACCTTCCCTCGATATATGCTGAAGGAAGCACTGCCTCAAGAGTTATTGTTGTGTCACTGAATACGTATATTCACTCTGTATCGGGTAACAAAAGGAAGTCACTCATCACCGAATATGAACAATAGAGTGATCATGGGATGTGTTGCGGAAGAAGTGAAAACTAATACAGAGATTAAAACTTCTGAGAGCGCTGTGAGAAACCAACTCAGCTCATATAAAAACGCAGTAAGATGCAGAGAAATGGATTAAAATGTCCTTGATGGTTGATTTGAAACGCACGACTGTGTGACTTCTACCTCACATAATGTACAGGAGCTACACTTTGACTAGAAATTAACTGTTAAAAAACAGGATTTATGGTGTGTGTGTAGCAAGTGATGACTGTTAAGAATAAGCCCATCTTTCATTTTGTGTGTTTGTGTATGATACCTCCATATGTGTGCACTGGTCTTTGTAGTTTTCTCGTGACGCAGCAGATCTCCCTGTGGCCACAGTTCCTCCTTTTACCTTTGTCATACTACGAGAAGAAACCATCACGAACATGTAGGTCCACCTCCCGCTTGGGCTCTCACTTTTCATCATGTTGGCCAACGGTTCCGTAGCCGTTCATCATTGCCAATTTCAAATGACCGTTGGGAGTCAACTCCTCTTCAAGTATGTTGTTCTTGGCGGCGAACATCTGGCTGATCTCCATAAAGGTTTTGTTCTTGGTCTCAGGAATGATGAAGATGGTGTAGAGAGCCACTCCAAAGCAGATCACGCAGAAGATCAGGTAACAGTAAGGACCTGTAGCCATCTGTAGTGGGAGGACACACAGTGGCAACTGTGATTAAAACTATGATACAATTACTTGATCAAATAAAATAATTGCTCTTCTGACTCTCTTTACAAAGTGTCCAAGAGAAGCAAAAGGAGACAAATATGGAGCCATTGTGCTAAAGTTAGCTGATCGTTTCCACCTCAAAACAATTGATTCTTAGGAGACAAAAATAAGATCCATAGACATTGACAGGCAACGCTGAGGTTAATATAAGCAAATAGAAGCAGATTAACATGAATTTGAGAACATGAAAAATAGGTTAATGTTAGTTTTATACAAACAACAGATTAATAGATTAATCTAATGGATTATATCCGAGGCCAGGGGCTCAGCAATGTAAAGCTAATTGATTTCTTTTGGCTACTTGGTGAAGAAGCTGTAAACACAACATTAACATTTTACTTCCTTATAAAGGCGGTATACCTCACGTGTTAGCAAACACACCCAACAGAGGCGGTTCAACATCTACCATTCATGTGAAGGCATGTTAAAAAACAAAAAAAACATCTGCCTGCCTTTTCATTACAAGTGTCATCTTCCACATTACACATAGATGTTTGAGCCACTGCTAAAACCATTGATTGATGGAATATTATAAGGATCTGTTTATTGGGTCCCCACTAGAAACAGTGCCCCTAGATTTGATAACCACTAATTTATTGACAAATGTTAGCTAAGCAGCCCCTGACTACTGTGCCTGACGACGTCATCTCTGGAAACATTAAGAGCCATCCTTAACGTTATCAGTAACAGCTGTGTCCTTCCTACTATGACGAATGAAAGATGAAAGGTCTGCTGTGAAAAAGGCCTATGGAATGAAAACGTCGGATCCGATGTATGAACTTTCTACAAAAAGTCCCACAATGTTTCCTCTCACATCCAATAGGAATAGGAACAAACCAGCAGACAGCAACTTTCCTCCTCAGCTAGTGAATGACATATTTCATATATGGTGTGGAGGCCCTGATTGTTATATAATTTACTCTAAAGGTCTTCGTCTCTCAGTTTTACAGTTTTTTGACCTTGATGAACTCTTGCTACAAGTTTTCAAGGCCACGTATTTCCATTCGTTACACAGGAGCTCTGTGCACACACACACCCTGACCTTAGCTCCACGTGGTCTGGGCTTAGCCACAGACAATGATCAACTCCTAGAAACGCCCCTGGTTAGACTTACACAATGTAAAAACATAACACAAGAACAAGGCTTTGTTTACTCTTGCTATCAAAGCCACAGTCAGGTGTGCAAATTGTTATCAGTTTCAGTACAGAGATGGTCCAGGACAGGATGTTTAGCCTCGCTTTGCACAGAGACCAGAGGCAAGGGGAAACTGTGAGCCTGTGACAGCTCTGAAGCTCTTCTTTTTCTTTTTTCTTTTTTTTTTTTTACATATTTTCTGTGACATTAAAACAGAAAGATTAAAAACCCACGTGTTTTTAAGCTCTGTGGTCATATGTGGTACATCGTCACTTCCCACAGGACAGATCATTGTCCTTTTCGTTTGTTCGCCTGGAACAACACTGAGGACAGTGAAGGACAGCAAGGTTGCGATTTTAATTGGTAATTTTATTGGTATTTGGGGAGTCACTTCTATTCAGACTAAACCAGACAGCCCGTATCATTATTGCCCTGTGTCTGACACGGCAAGTGGAGCCACAACAGACCCTGGATCCAAAATCACATGAAGCGAAAAGCCGGCAAGGCTAAAGAATGAAACAAACTAAATCTTTGTTTTTAAAATCGTATGCCAAAGTTCATATGCATTAATGTAAAATGCCTTCTGAGAAAAACAATTTGACTTTCACTGTCAGTGAACGGAACTGAAGGTAGAATACAAGTTTGCTCTGACCTCGAGGAAGGGAAAGACGAAGCCGATGGTGAAGTTAGACAACCAGTTGAGGCAACCGGCCACAGTGTAGGCAGCCGGTCTGTGCGACTGCTTAAACAGCTCTGCAGTGATCAGGAATGGCACACCAGCTATGCAGAGGAGACAAAAACTTATTATTTTAAGATTATTATTTTGACAATAGCAACATTCTCAACCGGTTCATCCATTGGTTTGATCTAACTAGGCATCCTATCAAGCCGTCACGATACAAATCACATTTAATCACTCAGCACAGTTGTATGAATCTATTGGGTGTTGTGAAATTAACATCAGCGTCTTCATTCATCAATTAGTTTATCAATATTCCCACTCAGGACTATTCTTTGGCAGTCATTCAAAATAAACAGAACACGAACAGAAATGATAAACATTCCTCAAGCCCCAGTGCTATTATATTACACTCCTTTTTCTGCATGTACTTCATTATGTGTTCATTATTACTCAGCGATCACAGATTGACAAGAGAGGGAAGATGTTTGTTAAACTGGCAAAACTCCAACTATGTACCACAAGAAACAGAATAGCTTAGCCCGGACTTGTGCAATTCATTAGTTTGATATATAGGATCTATGAGATGTTGTCTTAGCTTTAAACACACAATTCTTCATTGTTAGACGTAAAAGCTATGAAGGAGAAATATACATTAGTAAAAGCTCTAATGATGAGCTTTCTGAATGATATCCTCATTATCTGTGCATGATAATTGCATAGAGGAAGGTTTAATATCATCAAGCCAATAACTAGGCCATAATTTGTCAACATCTGTGGTATGTATGGGGGGGTGTCATTGTGCATGCACGGTTTTGTGTGAAGCAAATCATATTCATCACGGCTAGCTTACGAACAATGAGCCATTAAAAGTCTAATTGCAGCAACAGAAATCCTCGTCCGTGTGCCGAAGTATAGATTTTGCCGGCTTGACGGATGATGCTATGTAAACCAGATTCGTTCTAATTCATCTTCCTCGCAGGTCCACTCAACGTAGCTCCCGATGTTGTAAACTATTGCCTCTTAATTCACTTCACTCAACTCATCCAGAGTACAAATGGCTGTGGGAATGGATGTAGTGTGGCAGTTATAATTTCCTAATTTACAAGACTAATGAAATACAATATCTCTTCACAGTCAGGAGGAGGAGAGGGGAGGGAGAGATGCTGGGATTAAGGTTCGGCGCCTGCTATTGTGCGAGCGTCCACCAGGGAGCAGTGTTACCTTAGACACAGGACCATCCAAATGTACTGTCCTGTGTGGTTTTGAAAGAGTCTTCAGGTGAGATGAACTAAGATGTTTACCTGGACCTATGCAGAAGCCAGCGATGATCCCAACTACGCAGCCCACACTGATGTAGCGCATGATGGCCAACTGCGCCTGTAATTGGTCAAACATGAGTCATGAGTCTGAAGTCATGAGTTGTAAACATTAGTAAACAATTTGTAGTTTTCTTTTTTAATTATTCATTTTACTATACTTGTTTATTCTGACTATAATGTAACATATGAGCGGCATGATTAGTACCATGTGGGGCTTCTGACATTTACCAAATTACATAATTACTTTCTTGTCTGTACTGTTATTTTTAAGTCAAGAGGGGTTTCCCAATGTCACTCAGCTGTTTACTGAAGAGAAGATATTTGGTAAATGTCTGCCATTTTATTTTTGAAGATGTTTTTATGCTAAATAAATAAAATTAAAAACACAAATTGAGTAAACAAAAATGTTGACTGAGTGGGTTTTAAGGGAAACCATTCATAAATTAGACACATTAGATTTTAGTTTGTGGAAATTATGTAAATTTGTTAATGTCCTTAGCCCCATTAAAAACATTGCACTCTGTGCCCTACGCCACAATCTGCAAGCTAATATAATATATTCCTTCACCAGCAGGACATTAGATGACACTGTACCTGGAAGAGGACGGACATAGTGATCCCAACACAGCAGAGTCCCATGAAGAGGAAGCCGCCAATCATCAGAGGTCTTCTGCCCACGCGCTCGATAGTGAAACACTGAAAAACCGACAAAGAGGCAGGACCTGTTGTGATTGGCTGGCAGTATTAGACATCATCCAAAAAGAAGAGACAGTCTTATGCTCTGAGCATTTGTTTCAGCCTGTTTCATGTTTACTAGTACACAGATACACACACCTGAAGTCCTGTGTGCCACATACAGGTCAATCATTAGCTCTTTGCCTAAATCTGGCTGATTTATATTACAATGATGTTAATGTGATAAATAAATAAATAAATGAAGTTAAAAAAAGAGAAATTAAAATCTTATTAAGTCAATGATATTACATATCACATCACTATAACTTTTATTTATTTAATGTTGACCAGGTGCCACATACTACAGCATTAATAATCTAATCTATCTTGCAACGCACTACTTTATATGAGCCTTTATACAAATGTACACAACACAATAGAAAACATCTAAAGAACAATCAAAACCATAAACAAATATACAATAAAATACCATAAAAACGTAATCAATCAGTATCTGATTGTTCATGACTACATGACTGATCCGTCTTAAAATGGCGTTGTCAAATGTTTTGTTCTTTTCTGATCAAAGCTCTAAAACCTGAAGATGTTCAATGCACAGTTATAAAAAAAACTTAGAAGAAGCAAATTCTCACATTTCAGAAAGTTTGGCGATTAAATACTTGAATCTTTCTACGATACACACGACAATTTTCTGTAAATCAACTAATCCGTTAATTGATTAGTTGTTGAAGCACTATATAAAATACATATATACAGATATAATAATGTCATTCTTGGTGTGTGTAAAGTGTAATAATATCTACTCACCCCCAGCACCCCAGAGATGACCTCAATGGCACCAGTTCCCACTGTTGTGTACTGGATGTAAGGGTCCGGGATTCCTGCGTTCCTAAATATGTCATTTGTGTAAAACCAAATCTGAAATTGACAGTGACATGAAGTATATTAACAGGATGAAAACATCGGACCACTGACAGATACACAAACACACAGACTCAGACAGATGCTTTGATACTTAAAGTTTGTCTTTTTTTTTTTTCTTTTTCTCAAGGAGCCACAAAGTCGCTCTGCTTGTTTGGTGTTTCCATGTGATTCATCATAGTGATCATTATCATCAGGCCGACCATCACTCATGCATTTGAGATACAGCGTTTCATCAGTATGGACTCCTGACAAGTGCTCCCCTTGAAATTAATTTGTGTATTCTCATTAATCACACTTTGCTGATGCAACATCCATCATTGATGAGGTGTGGACAAGATCATGATCGGTGCAGTTAAATGCTGTCTCGTTGATTTAGTAACCATACATAGATATTTCATCACCATTGCAGCACATATGCAAACACAGACCTATCAAAAACTAGACACATACACAAACAATTAGAAAAAGTTAAAAGAGCTGGGACCCGTTGGACTGTTCTGAACATGTGAAAAAGACTATGAGTATATATACCACAGGGTTAGTTCTTCCTCACTAAATTGAAATCCCATGTTGTTTCTATAAAACAGGCATTTTGCATTTATACAAACAGTTCTTGCAGAAAAAGCATCAAAGGCTCAACCAATAAAGCACTGGTGACTCTAAGGACTTATCTGACTGCTGTTTGACTGTCTATACTGTCCTCTTCATCCATCCATCCATCCATCCATCCATCCAGAGGCTTATTCTAGATAGGTTTTGTTGTGGCAGCAAGGTAAGCAGAGCAGGCCTGGCACATTTTCTTCGTCCAGCTCTCCCAGGCCGAACCCAAGCTGTTTCTAGGTCAGCTGACTGGTGTAGTCCCTTTTGTCCATCTGTGTCTACATCAAAGTCTTTTCCCAATTACACGGGGAGGAACCTTAAAGGCACTCTGCACCCGTCTGGATGAATCCTCTAAATTCAAAGAATCAGCAACTCAACTCTAAGGTCGTCCAGGATGACTTATGCTCCTCACCCTGTCTGAGAGACTGGCCTGCAAAACAAGTACCCTGCTTTGTTTTTCCACTTTTTCATTGCAGAATCTATCTGCAATTAGCACCATTGCCTTTATGTGTGATACTTGACTTAACTCCTTCATTTCCCACCAGCTTCCCATTTTCTGCCTGAAAGAAACAGATGGAGAGGGACGAGAGAACCATCTTATCTTTGACAGTGTCTCATTTCACCAGACTGTTTAAATTGTATCACAGATAATTTAAGAACAAAAGGGCAAAATCCTCTGCAAAAGTGCAGATATACCACTCTCATGTCAGCAAACGTGACAGGAGAGGGGACCAAGTGCAAATGTATTAGTTCAAAGCCAACTTGAATAAGTTTCACTTCATGCCAAGAGTACAACAAACCCTGAAACACTGAAAATGATTTCAATGTTTTGGAATCAAAGGGCCTGTAGCATCTGTGTCAGCACCCTGCGCATCCACAGTGCCTCCTTCTCCTGCTAGCAATAACAAACAAGTAAAAACAGGTCAACTCCTCCAGGACCAGGAGAAAATTCACAGTGGTCTAACTACTCAGTCAGCTTCCTAAACAGACATACAAGTTCTTGTCTTTTGAATTGAGAATTGACCTTCACTTTATGAAGTTAAATGTACGATACCCTCCACTTCTTAATATTGTTTGGCTGGCAAACAAAAGGACTCAGGATGAAAAAAATGTTATAATGTTGTATGTACTCTGTTTAAGTGTTGTCTGTTAATTTAAAAAATCTTGCTGGAAAACAGACGTTGATGGACAGGCAAACGGAGGTGTAATAGTTCTTTCAAGATTCTGTCTAAGGTCGAGTAGTTCCAGCTTTGCAGGTCCCCAAAATAATGAAAAAAATCGGTGATACAAATATTTTGAAAAAATCTTTTTTTGTTGTTGCTTGTTTTTTGCAAACACCATCTAGTAACATGGTTGTCTTATTTCTTTTTGAAATGGTTTGTACAAAATAAAGTTATAAATACCCAAGGTTGTAAGAAAAGCATACATTTATACCTTAAGTTGTCCTGAAATATCTAATGTTGCATGTGCCATGTACAGATCTATTGCACACATGGGTTCTTCTGCACGTTTGAAGCCTTCCAGTGTTCCTGTCTGGAACAGCTGGGATCGTGAGACTCCGCAGGGTGTACACCCGCTGGGAAATGATACTAGCATGTGAGCCAGCACGCCTAGAGCTTCCATCCACTTGGAGCAATGAGTACAAAGATGTGTTTGACTTTATGTGTGAATGGGTGGACCTTCTTATGTGGGGTAACACTGAGAGAGAGGACCAGGAGATAATGAAGCGTGGTGCTGTTGCCCCCTGCTTAGTCACTCAGTGGCTGCATGTGGGACTGTGATGTATGAACAGGAGGAGGTGCAGATGGGAGGAGCACAGCTGGGAACTGTAGCAATAGGGGCTCTCACTCTCTTATGATAACTCCACAGTCTTTGCACATCCAAAATGTGAGCACTGACACACACACACACACACACACACACACACACACACAGAAAAGGCAACAGGCCCACAACGCTTCTTCCACGTACCGCATCAATTCCAGACAGCTGCATGCCAATGTTGACCACCATAATGGTGATGACCTGCCAGCGGACACAGCGGTCCATGAGCAGGCCCCTGACAGAGATGGTCTGGATAGAAGACAAAGACCGTTGCTCTTCCTGCATCTCCTCAACTTCTGCCTGGATGTTTCCTTTAGGACGGTACCATTTTAGGGCTAGAGAAAGAAAGAACTGCTTTTAAGATGTGACAATAAAGACGACAATAACAATCAACATGTAACTTTATGTCATAATCTTTGGTGATCATTTTAAAGAATAGAGAGTAACCCGAATCTTGTTAAGACACAGTATAACACAGTCTTTACTCATTTACTCCACCGGGCCCGTTCTTATTTGGATGAGCCAGGTGGTTACATGAGGATTATGTTCTTTGATTTTTCAAGTGCGTTTAACACCATCCAACCCTCCATTCTTAAAGACAAGCTGGAAGGGATGGTGGTGGATCCCTGTTTCACGTCCTGGATTGTGGATTACCTGACAAGACAACCACAGTACGTCAGGCAGGGTAACTGTTTCTCAGGGACAGTGATGAGCAGCACTGGGGCTCCACAGGGAACTGTTCTGGCTCCGTTCCTGTTCACCCTGTGTACAGTGGACTTTAAATACAACTCTGAGTCCTGCCACATCCAGAAATACTCAGATGACACAGCTATTGTGGTGCGTATCAGGAATGGGCAGGAAGAGGAGTACAGGGATCTGATGATGGCGTTCAGTGAATGGCAATGAAGGACATTGAGGTGGTGCACACTTATAAATACCTAGGTGTGCACCTGGACAGTAAACTGGACTGGTCCCTGAACTCGAAAGCCATCTACCTGAAGGGGCAGAGCCGGCTCTTTTTCCTCAGGAGGCTCAGGTTCTTTGACGTCTGCAGTGAAATGCTGCACATGTTTTATCAGTCAGTGTTGGCCAGTGTACTTCTTTATGCTGCAGTCCGACATGAACACAAGGAGACTGGACAAGCTGGTAAAAAAGGCTGGGTCTGTGCTTGGCAGGAGTCTGGACTCACTCAGGACTGTTGTGGAGAGACGCATGCAATGTAAGATGGAGGCCATCTTGGACAATACCAACCATCCTCTCCACAACATTCTGGCAGGACAGAGAAGCAGCTACAGCTGCAGCAAACGTCTCATCTCACTGCAGGACAGAGAGGATCAGGAGATCCTTTGTTCCCACTGCCATCAGGCTGTAGAACACCTCAGCCAAAGGAAGTGGACTCATCTAATTATTATTGTTTATTTATTATTAACTGTCATTATTATTATCCACAATGATCTAATGGACACATGAATTTCCCCTAGGAGACATCTATCTATCTATCTATCTATCTATCTATGTATCTATCCATCTATGTATCTATCTATGTAATCAAACATAAAAAAAACTAATTTAGGAAAGAAGAAGAATCCATTTTCTAACCTGCGATAGTGGCGTGCACATTTCCCTTCTCTATCAACAGGTACCGTGGACTCTCTGGAAACCACGGCAACAGCATCAGCTGGACCATTGTAGGAAACACCACCAGGGACAGGAGCAGAGGCCAGTGCTCTTCCTGTATGGAAAGAAAATACAACACCTTACAAAAAGTAACAACAAGCAGCTTTCACTATTTCACTTATCATCTCTACAACGTAAAAAAAAAAGGTCTAAAAGCCTCTCCAAGTGGGATGAACCAAGGAGCAGGGAGTGGCAGAAAAGTCCTTGTCTGTTTTTGCTTTATTTTTCTGTGCAGCTGGTCCACACATTGGCACTCCTCCTTCTTCTCTATCTGATACATTGTAAGTGGGCAGATGGAAAGAGTATCACCTGATCAAGTTCCACCACATACTGTTAAAAAAAAAAAAACATGAAAGCGAGCAGGGTAAAGCTGGAGGGCCAGCTGGTCACGTTACATAAATAATCGCTCTATTAATCTAACTGTAGAACAGCCCTTTCACATATTGTATGATGCAACTTACGCATACACATCAGATGTTTCTCTTGTCTTATAGTGCTTTGTTTGTAGCCCTCACGCTGCTGCTCATATCTGGATCACAATCTCTTGGCTTGAGGCAAGAACAGGACGAGATTGAACTTTCTTTGACTATCTGCCTGAGCTTATGTCTGAGCCTCAAAATCACAACCAGAGGTCAAACTCCATGATTTCAGTACCTTTCCCAACAGTTCATGGAGCCCCAGGACCTGAGCGATGAAGACCCCAAGACAGATGTGGATGCTGGGAACAAGGCCCAGGAAGCCTCGCAGGTTCTTGGGAGCAATCTCACCAAGATACATCGGCACCACACTGAGAGCGATACCTGTTGAAGGGAAGTGTGATTAACAGGCAAATATAAGCAGCACTCAAGTGTATCTTTCCTTTGATGAAAATACAACTTTATCTACAATGAACGTTGCTTAAATTGCTTCAAGTTTCTGTTTCATTGTCTGGATGAATACCTGAGTGTACTCCCGTGATGAAGCGCCCAAAGATGACCATCGCAGGCATCTTGCACCATCTACTGAAGCCCATCAAAGCTCCTCCTATAAACACCAGCGCACTGGATCTCACCAGCGTCCCTTTCCTGTTTGGACACACAGTGATCCCTCTGCACTCAACTTCCTTAATCAATAAGATGCTTAGAAATGCCAGAGGTACAGGCTGGTGGTATTTTACAAACACAAGCATGCATTGGGCATGAGTTATATACACAAAAATGATCCACACACACTAACCGTCCAAATCTGGTAACAAGTTTGCCCACCAGCAGGGCCCCCGTCATCCCACCAATAGCAAAGATCGACACAGTGAGGGAGTACAAGACGGTGAGGTGCTCCTCATCTGGAGCCCAGTCGTAGATTTCTACCATCGTCTCATTGTAGAAGTCTTTGATGAACTGGTGGAAGAAAGAATACATGAATTAAGTTATTTTACATTGTCCAGCAGGAGAATAGATAACTACATTTATAATAATATACACATGGAATTGCATGATATTATTCTCTCTCCCAATTATCCTATTATGTTTTTCTGAAAAATCCTATTTTGCCTTTACAAAAGACAGACATATAAAAACAAATAATCAAACAAACAAAAAAAAAAAAAAAATCAAAAAAAAAAAAAAAAAAACAGTATTCCAGATTTAATTCTAACCTATAGCCATTGCAGTATGTCCATCACTCCAATAGACCTGGAGCACATAGTAAAAATAGTAATAGTAACTAATGCAATTTTAAACGACCACATCATTAATTATTTCCCACAGTGTCACACATCTAAATGTCATCATTAGTCTTGCCATTTCCACAGCACTGGGTGGAAGCTGCACTGGGGGATGGGATGAAGAGATGCAGACATCTTCATGCGACAGGAAGTTGATCAAGCCCCCACCGTCAAAGTCAAATCAAATTTGATGAGAAAGAGGTCATAAACTGCATGCATGATAAAAATGAAAGTGGTTATCCCTATGGTGTGACAAAAATGTATTGTAAGGGCCAACAACAATATCCATCAGATTTCTTTCAGGTTTATCTGACAGTGAAGACTCCACTGAGATCAGACTGGGTTGGAGAATCCATTACATTAAATCTAATTTATCTCAAGAGACACAATTCATTCATACTCTGTGAGGGAAACATCAAAAAAGTGAAACGAGAGAAAAATAAAGGTTGGTTTTAGTATTAATACTCATTAATATATTTGTATTGGTTTCTAAAACAGTGAGGAAATATGACTGAACAGGTTAATATTCATAAATATTATCTTGGCAGAACAAGACTTAATCATGTTAACCAGTGGATCTGGTGGGTGTGATCTACAGAATGTACACATACCTGCTGTTTTAAAGGAAGACCATCATCTTTACTCAGCCTTGACGGCCTTGTTGCCAAATATTTCCATTTAGATGGGTTTACTGATTGAAGAATGTATCAAAGTGAAACTCATGAGCATAACATACATAAAAGAGGTTAAAGAAGGCTATGATATGTATGACCTTGTTCAATTAGATCAGCAGTGTATGATGCAAAACACGGTTGCAGTGTGCTGCTGGATTTGGGCAAGCACAGATCCAATAGGCTGGATAGCGGTATTGGCAGGAATATCAATCTTATTACACTGATCAGGTATCAGCCAGACATAATCAATCCACGTTAAAAATGTTTCTTAGTCACTGTTCAACTACCAACTGAATTTTGAGCAATCTCTTGTGCATAATCTTGCCTTATTTATCAATATTTGCCATTTCCTCTTACTCAAGTGGTATTCTCACAGCGGGAGCCCCATTGTTTTCTCCTCTGCTCTGTGCATTTATTGCAGTATCACTTTATGTCAGTGCAGAAATAGTAGCTCATCGCCATGATTCAGAAGTGATGTGCAGTTATACTTTATCTTCACACCTTCCACATTTTTGCCAGTCACTCAGTTTCATACGGTGAGAAATGCAGATTTTTGATTGTGGGGAAAGAAGAGAGCACTGGTGTCAAGTTTAGTTATCATAACCAGTATCAAGAGGGAAAAGGTCGATCTGGTGCATCCCTCGCTGGATTGTCAGTGCACCTATCCCTCATGGCAAAGAAAGGGCAGGAGAGGTGGTGCAACCCTGCACTTTATGCAATGTTCCTGCACAAAAATAGAGCCCTGTAGGTCTAGAGACATCACTGGCACACATGTGACACAGTAACAAAAATCGAGAAGAGTTCATAAACAACAAGGAGAAATTCACATATGATCATCTGACTTCCACTGAATGTTTGTAACAACCCCTTTTACTACCTCTTTGTACTTTGAGATCATATGAGCTGTATCGAAGTTTGTTGAAACAATAGCCCGAGTGATAAGTCATGATATCAATTCGTATTAAAGATTTTCTCAGAAGAAGAAAGGGACAGAGAAGAGGAGACAAAGTGGAAACTATGAAACTTCTTATGACCTGGCTTTGACTTTCGCTTATCTGCTTTTTGCCGAACACAAATCCAGCATCAACCTTTAAGCCAAAATTAAATTACAAGGCCAATAAATTTCAATTGAGGTTTATTGAACAATGATTTCAAAGATTGAAAAGCACATTGTTGTATTGGCACTCAAACCCTAAATTGCTCCTCTTTTGCCATGGCCATAATCTAAAATAAACAGCTGAGGAAAGTTTAGCTCTCTGAAAATGTAATCTGATTACTATGACACACAAAGCCACATCATTAGGTTTTGAGGTATCCAATGAAAAACTATTTTCACTCACCTCCCCACTAACTGACTCTTATGCCAGACCTAAGATTTGATTTGGAGCACACAGCACAGCACGCAGTGAACCCTACAAAGAGCACTGAAGTCACACGGACCATGGTTAAAGATTTGATCTCCCCATATCAGCAGTAGATTATTCGGATTATGTGTGACACAAAGCAATTGTCTCAATTTTAACTAGGATATGGTTTTTCAGCCGCAGCTATTTCTGATGGCTACACTGCTGGGGGGGATAAGCCTAGCTTTATGAAAGGAACAGTCAGACGTTTAGGGAAATACGCTTATTCACGTGCAGAAAAATAAACTGAGAAGATCAACACCACTGCTATGTGTGTGTGCGTCAAATATGGAGCTGGATCTTGGAGGCGGTTAGCTTAATTTGGCTTAAGAAGGAGTGAGAAAGAGTTAGCTGTGTCATCTGACATTAGCCATGCCAAGAAATAGTTATAGCAAATAACTCAAAACCTCAAATGGTAATTTTTACATTTTTGTTTGTGTAAAGATTAAACAGTTAATAAATGAGTTTTAAAGATGTTTTACTTCCTACAGAGACAGGCTAGCTGCTACCCCTTGCTTTCAGTCTTCATGCTAATCTGAACTAAGATAATCACCTCATGACTCTATAGATAGATATGAAAGTGGTATCAGCCTTTTAATCTAACTCTTGGAAAACTCTTGTCTTATTATTTCTTTACAGCCACTGTGTGTAAAGTATAAATTTTCCTGTATTTTGGGTGCCACACGATGTTGGCATGAAAAATGACACCATGGCAGTCAATGCCTGACCTACGGCAACCTGGGGATAGTGAATGGGTTGAAAGCAACACACAGTGCACCAGGGTTCTCCATGTTTTTGAACAAACAGAAGTGCAGAAATATTTCAAAGATCCTCCAATCAGATAAAGACAGACAGTGAAAAAGAGAGTGTGAGATGAGTGTAAGTTTGAACGTGATGAATCATGTGCCAACCAGGCCCAAAGCAGCGGATGCAGTTCTTTCCATGTAACTGCCTCCTCAGAGCATTACACACTCCAGCAGAAGATGTGACCCTGAAGCTCACATGGTTCAGTGTGGGACCATCCATGGCCAAACAGGAATGGTTCAGAGTTTAGCCACTGCACTGCAACAAATCTAACATCAGAGGTGCAGCAAAAGAGCACATGATGGGTAAAAACGACAGAACATCGATGACACGGCGAGGTCCACATGACTCCACATGACAATGAAATACAATCTGATCTTTACTTTGTCCACTAACATTTAAAAGGGCAGATTAAACTTTGGAAAGACCTGTCATCCACTTTCACCCCAGTGTTCATTCATACTTGGATTACTGATGCTCGAAGAAAAAGCGTAAAAATGCTTGGGTCAATGATGATGACAGCAATGAGAATGATGATTATCATGATGATGATGATGATGATGATGTTGATGATGTTTTAGTGACACAAACCTGTGCAGGAGAGTTGACCACTGCCAAATTGTAGCCGTAGAGCATGGAGCTGCCGAGGGAAGCCAGCAAGGCCACCGCCAGCAGTGACTTTGTGAGATGCTGAGGAAAAGATGAGGAGAGAAATAAGAAGGAATAAGTACAAAAATGTCCTGCTGCCTCAAAGCAACATTTAAAGCAATGGAAAAAGTAACCCTGAGTTTTCATTTAAAATGAGATCACATCAGGTGATTCAGATCTCAGGTATTAAGTTTGTGTGTGTAGGCCTATATTTAACATGGTCAGTGGATTTTCACATACAAACTAAACAAAAAGGAGTTCTATGGAAAAGAGCTGTTATGGCCCAGTTTAATGCTAAAGAAAAAATGTCATGCCCTTTCTCATTTTCTAGACTTGTGTTTAGCCTCTACAGGGATTAGCTCGTTCTGTTTGAGTATTTTTAACAGCATCATATAACGGTATATGTTGCATATAAGTCTGTAAGCTTTGGACTTTGCAACAGAGCAGTGCAGGCACCGAGCAACATGTGACTGAATCAGAAGAAGTGAAACAAACCCAAAGCTGGACACAGGCCAGATCCCATTAGCCTGCTCCTGGATTTTATCATAAACACATTTCGTTCTGAGAGAAGCACTTTGAAGAGCTGAGACCAATCAAATGACCAGATTTACTATTCAAGCCCTAAATGAGCCTCAACACGGCAAGGGGGGGGGCATACAAATCTTAAACATCACATAAATATCCAAAGTCATATGAGCCCTGCTCAGAGGAGGTCTACTGTATTTTCATTAGGAATGGCCTGGAGCTACCCTCTTGGCTGCCATCCTAAATTCCAGCACATTGAGCTTAGCTGACCTCCAAGGCAGAAGGTCGGCGTCAGGATTATAGTGTGTTTCTGAATGTCCATACCTTCAGACTGACAGAAATGACCACATAATATCCCCACCCGTAACAACGTCTCTCACTGTGATGGAATAAAGGTTTACAAAACCCCAGATCTTTACATACCTGTGCTTATTCTGAGTCAAATGAATGATATGAACATGTCGGATGTTAAAGAGTCATACAGAGCAGGAAGCCTCTGCTCTGACTGAACAATGACAGCACAGATGCCTTAAAGAAACCTAATTTAGCCTGATGGAGAGAGTTAGACGACTACACGTGAAAATAGCCCATGGCAGACAATGCTGCCCAGTCAACATCAATTTAGCCTTATTATCTGTCAGATGTGCAGCTCTTCACATGTTACATCACTTTGGTCAAAGCTCTGACTAACAATGTTCAAGAGTTTTACTGCAAGTCTTCAGTCATGTTAGTTCATCGTTTTGCTGGCTTGTTTTCAATAGGTTAACTGCAAGGCTGTTTTGGATGTGTGACTTTTGGACATCCTCTCAAACTTTTCCATGCCATAGAGTCCAAGGCAGCATCTTCTACAAACAATGAACCTGAACCACTGTGATTGGTTCTAATACACTGTGTATATTGATATGAAATGTCAAAGTTGGATCATTTAAAACTATGTGACTAAAAAAGCGCTAAATGAAAGATGTCATATAGTGTGACCATTTGAAAACAACAACTGATTATGCATCTTTGTCACATTTCCATAAAGCCTATAGACATTTCCTACGGAGTGTTAACTGAACACTCACCGCGCTGTTTTTTGCATTGTTTTCCAGAAGCAGTTCCTCCGCCATTTAAGTCATAAATAATTCCTCCTCGCGTGTGATCTGCTCGTTTGAGATGAGAAACAGCCGCACAACTTTTTTTTTAAACTCTTCACCCTGCATCCCTCATTTGTAGCTCTCGGCCATGCTCCTGTGTCACAGAGGAGGCGTGTCGTGTTGAAGGGCGGAATTAACAAGCTTGTCAAACTCCCAATCTCCAATCACCAGAGCGCGTCGCAGAGCTGGCCCATCCCAGCCGTGGATCGTTTTCCCCGCTCCATCAGCGATCACATGAGCCAAGAGGTGCATCCTGCGCCCCAAAGTGCACGCAGTTGTCATCAAATAGCCTATGACTAACAGTATTCAGTTGTGTTTCCAAGACTAGTAAACATCAGGGGCATGGCTGAGACCCAGGGCCACCTTCACCTTCAAGGAGAAGGATCTCAACGTTTTAAGATGATCGTTCAGATCCAAAAAGTTACTGGGCTGAATGAGACAAGACTCCAAATGAAGTCAAAATATTCATTGAAATTAAGAAGATATTTTTTCATTTTTGTTTGTTTCTGTTTTAATGATAATGTGTCCTTTCTATGTTATAAAGAGAATTTGACATAATCTCTCCCAACTGTTTTAAAAAAACACCCTCCAGTACTTTCTAATGTCTAATAACAATCAGTTTGAACCATTCCAGTCTGCCTTCAGGGCCTGTCCCTCCGCTGAGACAGCGCTCACTAAAGTAGTAAATGATCCTCTGATCTCCATGGGTTCGGACTCCACCTCTGTGCTCCTCTTACCAGATCTCAGTGCAGCTTATGATACTACAGATCATTGTATTCTCTTAGACCGACTTGAAAGCAAATTCTGTTTTTCTGGCCTGGACCTCACCTGGTTAAAGTCCTACTTATCTGACAGAACACAGCGCATCTCCTATAATAACACTATATCGACATACGCTGCTGTGAAACATGGAGTACGAATTTAGAGGTCTGTTTGTCTGCTGTGAAAAGCTGGATGGCTCATAAATTTTTGCTCCTAAATTCAGACAAAAAACGAGATGCTGGTCGTTGGCCCGACCTGACAGAGACACCAGTTTGATCAGTTGACATTAACGCTTGATAACTGTGTTATTTATCATAGTCTGACAGTCAATCAAGACTTGATTATTGTCACATTTTGTTTTCTGGCCTGCCACGTGCTTGTATTAAAAGCCTTCAAATGGTTCAGAATACTGCAGCTAGAACTGTTACTAAAGCCAGAATATTTGACCATATTACACAGATTTTATCCTCCCTTCATTGGCTTCCTGTTCATATCAGATTAGGCTTTAAGGTGCTTTTGATGGCATATAAGGTTCTAAAAGGACTTAATTTTGAACCTTACACCTGTCTGATCTTCATAAACCCTAGAATCCATCTTGTGCTCTCTGTTTTCCAGAATTTAGGGCTCCTGTCTGTTCCCAGAGTTAAAAAGACGTCTGCTGGCTGCAGAGCCTTTTCCCATCAGGCCCCTCTGCTCTGGAACAACCTCCCTGCTGACATCAGACTGTCTGACTCTGTTCAGATTTCAAATCTAAACTTAAAATGTATTTTTATATCTTAACTTTCAGTTAGCTTCCTATTCATTTACAAACTCTTTGTACCTGTTGCCATCCTACCACTGGCGGGTGGGCCTCAGTCTCAATAAACCAGTAAACTCAATATAGTATAGTCCAAGATGTTCTGCCGACAAGATCACTGTAAATTTTCTGAATCTGCATCATTCTAACCGTTTGCTTTTTCCCTCAAGCACATGAAGCGCCCAGGCTGCGTGCCTCTTTCTTTCCCTTCTCCTTCTCCATCTCCTCCCTGTTACTCTCTGCAGGTCCTCCCGCCCTCAGAGCTGTAGAGTCTGGACCTGCAACTGCAAACCACCTACTGCCCCCATGATCCTGTTTAACACCTGCTGCTAAACCTGCTAAAAATGTACTATAATTAACAATGATTCTTATTAATGTTATTAGCTGTCATTACTATTGTTATCAATATGAACACTACAGTTGCCACTACATTACTATTGCTGTTACTGCCGTTATACTGTCACTATTATTAATATTGTTATCACTGTATGTTTTTGTTCTTTTCCTCTGTGCTCTCTCTTGCTCTCTCTCTCTCTCTCTCTCTCTCTCTCTCTCTCTCTCTCTCAGGCAGATGGCCGCCCACCCTGAGTCCGGTTCTGCTCGAGGTTTCTGCCTCTTAAAAAAGTTTTTCCTTGCCACTGTCGCCTAGCGCTTGCTCTTGGTGGGAATTGTTGGGTCTCTGTTAATAATATTATAAAGAGAAGGTCTAGACCTGCTCTATATGGAAAGTGCCTTGAGATAACGTATGTTGTGAATTGGTGCTATACAAATAAAAATTTACTTGACTTGAATTGACTTGACCCTCACTAACATTTAAACAGATAGCAATAGCATCAAGACTAATTACTTGTTAGATACAGAGGACATGTTGAAGTAGGTTATTGTAGCCAATGAGAGCAAATTTGGAGATATATGGTACACCTACAGTTTACTGTTCATTCAACTAGTTTAATACTGTAAAGCTTTACCTCCTCAGCACTCTGAGCAGAGAAATCACTTTTTGATTGAACTGCTCAGAAAGTCTCAACCTGTGACGGGTCACATGTAGACATGGATTTGCATAGAGGGGTCAAAAAGCAAAAAATGTTAGGAACAACTGCAGTGTCATGACCAGATCTAATAGAGACCACCCAACTTCAACCTCCTCTTCAGGACAAATAAGCGCCATGATTGAATTATTGATTGATAGACAGCCTGTGATGCCAAAAGTAAGGATAAGGTTAGGATATGTAAGGGCTTTTCATTCTCCTCTTGAAATGAGTGAGAAGAAAAAACATTGGAGGGAGAAAACACATTTCACCTGCTGAAAAAAAGGTTTAGGGCCTTTTCCATGTTTCTACTTGTATTTACATCTACAATAACTTCAGTTTGTTTTTACTTTGGAGCACATCAAACATTGAGATTAAAGTTTCAAATTCAAAATTTGATTTAACTTTGTTTAAGGTCACTTTGTGTTCCTGTTTTGTCATTCCTGGTTGCATTGTAAAAATATCATGGCATCCATATATCACCCTTTGACCAGAAATATCTTTTACAGAATTTAAGGTTCACTCTGTATTTTTTGTCTCATTAGTTGTGTTACGTATTCTAGCACTGTGTTTCAAGTGTTTCTTATTTGGCTTTTAATTTGAAATATTCTCTATGAATAATTCAACTAATGGAATTTAAACTTATGTAAACAGAGAAAGACAAAATCTCCACACTAACAAGATCCTCTTATCCCTCATTAGGAGCAGGTTTTGTCTTGAGCTCACAAAGATGCATAACATGAAAACTGATATGATCTGCATCACTTCCTTACGCATGACTTTCTTGCGTGTGCTCCAGTCTGGGCATCTTTTAATGGTCACACTGTCTCCTGCTTCACATATGACTCTTGCACTGCAACTCTTTGGTGATTTCATGGTAGACAGAGTTTTTGTTTTCTCTAAAGCAACCGCATGACCGCTTGAAGGAAGAAACATTCCACCAGAGAAATACATAACGTGAAAAGAGAGTTTCAAAGTTGCCCTCCGCTCTGCATCTCTATAAAGCCGTTGGTGCCAGTGATGCACTGACACCAGAGCCTAAAGTCTGTACAAGAGACACATACAGAGAGCTGCTCCCAAACAAGTCAGCAGAGGTTTAATACCGTCTCTTTCGAAGGGACCGAGTGTGGATTTCAATTTTGACGCCAAGTGCTCACAGAAAACTGAGATGTAGTTTATCGTAGGAATGAATTAATAAAATGATGTAAGGATGAGATGTAGGACAAACAAACAATACAACATGATGTCTTTGGTATTATTTCACCTGCCTAATGCTGCCTCCATCACACTTCTCCTCCCTGCTGCTGTTACCTGCCATTGTATAGATTACTACACGGTGGCCTATGTTACACAGCCAATGAACCTTCAGACTTGTGATCCTATAACTTTAACCCAATGAGCCAAGTTGAGACTAGCACGCAAGTCAAATGGCTTGTGTCATATGACTTCCAGCACTGTGAAATGTCAGTGGCATCATGCTGCTTATGGGTAAAAAATCAATTATGCTGAGAAGAGGGACACAACTTGCAGGGCTGACACCACACAGGAAGAGGAGTAGACAAACACTTTGGTCCAACAAAACAAAATATTCTGAGGACTGGATGAGTGAATACAGTGGAAAGATATGTTTTTTCTCTTACAGATGACAAAGTAATCGATTTATTAGGTAAATCTGAACCTGAATCTGAGTCTGAAGTGTTTTGCAGTAATACACAGGGGCTAAAAATTAGAAACACCTCTCACCACCACTAACTATGACCTCAGAAATGACCAGAGGTTAATCAACCTTGTCGACAATCACCGAACATTGTGAGCTTCACTGAAAAGACTTTATAGGTTTATTGTGCTGGTACAAGTGTATGTCATAGCTTCATTAATAAAATAAACAAATCATTTCATGTATTTGTTTTAATTCAAGATTATGTGTTTTATATTTTGTATTTCATTTATTCTGATTCTTTTCCTATAGTCTTACACAACAAAATATTTGCATTCTGTGAGTTCCCTTCTTTCTTTCATATGGAAATAGTTTGTGGGATTAAAGCTTGGATATGTCAGCAACTGCGTTCCTGCCGCTTTGTTTATTTTTGATGATTTTTTCTACTATTTCATTTGAGTCTTACTAAACCTACCCATTACAGCATCCACAAAAAATAAAAGCTGAAAGTGTGGGGGATGTTTTAGCTTAGCTTGTTCTCTAAAAAGGGTCACAACCTTCTCTCATTTAATTCACAACACAACTGATTTCTGTTCCTCAACTAAAACTGCAATTTTTTTGGCCACTTGGGGGCAGCACAACAAGATGTAAACACAAAGCTGACATATTGTCACCATATATAGTTGGTGCGGTGACAAAGCTCTTATACCTCTCCAGGCTGCACGTACAGGTCCACAAAATGAGTTGTTGAGCTTTGGGAGGTGTGTA